ATATATATATATATATAGGATGTGTGTGTATATATATATGCACACACATACACAAATATAAGTATGTGTGTGTATATATATATATATATACGTATGTCGCTATATATTCACGTGTGTATATACGCATGTCATTGAAATCTACAAAGATGTACATGGATGCTGCTGGCATCGTTATCATGAACATGGCTCGGTCTCGTCATTTTTCTCAATCTCATTGCTGGATGCTGTCCATTTACTGGTACATGTGTTTCATGAGCTACGCTGTGCTGTGCTTGCTGCCGGCTTTCCCTCGAGCTTCCCAATCGGCTATGGTGAGCTGAAGCCGAGAACGCCCCCCTCTTGACCGCCTTTACGATGGATGAGGAGCCTTTTGCCCAAGCAGAGACTCACCGTGCCCGAGGCAATGAGCTCATGAACAAGGGCGACTATGCTGATGCCACGGATTGCTACGACAAGGGCTTGGTGGCTTTGCTATCGGCCAAAGGCCCTACTGTAGAAGACATCCAGCAGCTTCGTGCTGCCCTGCATCTGAACGCCTCCCTGGCGCACCTGCGCCGTGGCAATCTCGCAAGTGCAGTAGACCATGCAAGTGGCGCCTTGCAGGTGGCAGCGAAGTCTGAGGCCCGTGTGAAGGCCTTGTACCGTCGTGGCCTCGCCCAGGCCAAGCTCTTAGAGCACGGGCACGCCGAGATGGCCCAGCGCGCGAGGGCCGACTTCGAGGCGGCCCTGTTCTTAGACCCGGAAAACGGGGAGGCGAGGGCACAGCTGGACCAGCTGCAGTCCAAGCTTCGAGCCGAAGAGAAGGACCTGAACCGACAACAGCGGGAAACTTTCAAGAACATCTTCTCTGGAAAGCCGCTCTACGAAGTATCCGAGGCTCCCCCAGCTGTGCTCCGGGAGACGCGGGGGGGTGAGCACCCTGTGCTTTTATCGGTGGAGGATGTGGGCTTTGCGTACAACCGAGGTGAGCCTGTTCTGCGCTCCGTCTCTTTGGAGCTGCGTCGGGCTTGGTGCACAGGCTTGGTGGGTATGAATGCTTCGGGTAAGAGCACCCTGGCACGACTGCTCTGCAATCAGAACCGGCTGCAATCTGGTGCCTTGCGCCACCGCTGTGATGAAGAGAGCCCTTCTGCGCCTGCCAGATCTGGGGCAGTCGGGCAATTCATGAAATTCGTGTGGATCCCCCTATTGGTGCTGATCCTGGCTGTCGGGTTTGGGCCACTCAAGCCGTTCGAGGCCAACGTGCAGATCAAGCTGGCCACTGCATTGATGCTGGCCCTCACAGGAGCTGCCTGTATGTACCACTTCGGGCGTCATCCGCAGGCGGGGGAGGTGCGGCACCTGGTGCTGTACCTGTCCAGCGAGACCTCGGACAAGGCATTGGGAGAGAGGGGAGAGACCGCGCCCGAATATGGGGTCTGAAAACGTAATAAGTGATATTATCCCTTTACCTTACAGTCCCTTTAAGCTTACTTGTTATGTTACCTTATACCCCAAACTCCCCTTCTTACGTTACATCATACCCGAAATGCTCTCTTCTGAGCACTAAGCCGGCTTTCGGCTTAGAGCCTCCATCCAAACCCAACAAGACCCGAGGTCTCAGAGCTTGAGTCCTTCGGTTTCGGGGCTTTAGGGTTTAGGGTTTAGGGTTTAGGGTTTAGGGTTTAGGGCTTCGAAACCTGAGCTGCAAGGCCCTAAAAGTCCTTGGCTACCCCAAGACTCTGAACCCCCGAAAACCTCGAAACCCCTCAATCCCAACACCCCAAAACCCAGCACCCCCTAGCCCCAGACCCGGAACCCCAAATCATAAACCCAGAGCCCTACCTGTAGTCTCCATTGTAGTTCCTTTTTGGGGGTGCCTTATAGAAACCCTAATATATAATTGGTTAAACCAAAAAAGGGAACTACAATGGAGACTACAGGTAAGCCCCAAAAGCATAACCCCTAAACCCCTAAACCCCTAAATCCTAAACCTTAAATAAACCCTAAATCCTAACCCCTAAACCCCTAAACCCTAAACCCAAACCGCCAAACGCAGGAATCCGTGGGCGCGTCAAAGTCAATCGAGGCCGTCGTCGGCGAGGCACTGCCCCCGGCAAGGCAAGGCGACTCTCTTCGGGTCCATTCTCTATTTTTTGTTCAGGGTTTCGGGTTTAGGGGTTTAGGGTTTAGGGTAGGGTCCATTCTCTAATTGTTGTTGGGGTTGAGGGTTTTTTTGCGGCTGCCATGCCAAACCCCCCCAAAGATTCTACAACCCCACGCCCTTCATCCTGAAGCGCCTGACCCCGTTGGCCTCAACACCGACACCCCCCATCCCTAATCCGTGAAGCTGCTAAACCCCTGAGCCCCTAAACCCTAAGCCCTGAACTCTATACCCTAAACCCTCAACCCTCAACCCTAAACCCTAAACCCTAAACCCTAAACCCCAAACCCTAAGCCCCTGAGCCCCGAACCCGACCCTGGAGGCGCGCCGAGACCGTCGTCAAGCTGCTGAGGGCAGCGGGGTGGCGCGGCCAAAGATGTCGGGTGCTAAACCCTGGCCCGAAAGCCCGAAAAGCCATGCCTTAGGGTTTAGGGTTTAGGGTTTAGGGTTTAGGGTTTAGGGTTTAGGGTTTAGGGTTTAGGGTTTAGGGTTCGAACTACCGCGGTATTGTGGTTGTACGTGCATCTATACTTGCCAGCCTCATGAGCAATGATGATAACTGTAGCTTGTGTCATGCGTATGGTTTTCTGAACATGTACATCATACCTTGATCCCTCGTGCAACTCGCCCTAAACCCTGAACCCTCAAGGCCCAAGCCCTGAACTTTTCGAGGTTTCAGATGTACAACCAGGAGACGGGTGCGCCCGTGGGGAGCCCGGAGGCGTCGTCGCTTAAGGGAAGGTCTTGCAAACCCTGAAACCCTAAACCCTAAACCTTAAACCCTAAACCCATAAACCCGAAACCCTAAACCCTAAACCCTAAACCCTAAACCCTAAACCCTAAACCCTAGACCCTAAACCCTAAACCCTCAACCTCATCCCACACACTGGAACTCGACTCCTTAAGCCCTAATATCCTCAACCCTGAAGCCCTAAATCCGAGTCTTCTTCTTTCCGGAGGAGTACGTCCGAGATGGTCTCCGATATGGAGAGCTCTCAGGTGGGCAGAAGCATCTGATCTACGTGCTCCGCTACTTCGCGCGATGCCTCGCAGCCACGGGCCGCCTGGGCTTAGGTTTAGGGGTTATAGGCTTTCTGGGTCTACGGTTTAAGAGTTTAGGATGTGTCGTTTGTTTGGGTTTTGGGGTGTGCGAGGTTTGTGGGTTTAGGTCGGGTTTCAGAGAGCAAGATGCATCAAAGGTCGCCATGGTTCTTGGTCATGGTCATACTCTTTTTTGCAAGCACAGGAAGCTTATGATGCCTTTGAGGCTCCGTGGATCTCTGCCCCTGAGGCTCAGTCGTGTTGCTTTGCGATGAGCTACTCGGGGGCCTCGATTACCTGCGCCAGCCCAGGGTGCTTCGGATGCTGAAGCGCTTGCAGCGGGACACCGAGCCGAAGATTTCCGAAGCCCCTCTTAGGCCTGAGCTCCCTAAGCAGCCCATGCGCTTAGTGCCCTACTGTAGAGGTCTCTAGGTATTGAAAGACAGCTCAAAGCGATGGACCCCAAAGGAGCGAAGCATCTCGGTGCTTTATATCTCCACAGAGCTCCACCAGCTACTCTGCTTATTCAGGGAAGGAGGGAAGGAGGGAGGGAAGATGTAGATGATTCAGGCATCCAGTTGCTTCCATGACTTGGGTCGTCCGTTCCAAGCAGCTCAAAGTCCTTCGCCCCCAAGTCTTAAGAGCCCTCCTCGATTCTTGCATCCTCCAGGACGCCATCTCAACCCGAACCCTTTGCATTCAGAGGGAAACGAGGCGACCAAGTTTCGACCCATGAGAAAGCTGTTTTTTCAGGGCTGTAGTGTTGGAATCCCGATGCCCTGAACCCTAAACCCTAAACCCCCACGAACCGTAAACCCTAAACCCTAAACCCTAAACCCTTAACCTTGAAACCTAAACCCTAAACCCTAAACCCTAAACCCTAAACCCTAAACCCTAAACCCTAAACCCTAAACCCTAAACCCTAAACCCTAAACCCTAAACCCTGAACCCTATCCTGAAGGATCCCTGAAACCAGGCTCCACCTCGTGGCAGACGACTTTGCCTTTCTTCATGACGGCGCAGTCTGTGAGTTCGGACCTACCGAAGAGGTTGCGGGGGCATTGGGGGTTACTTGAAGGTTCATGGGTAGTTATAAGTAGGGTTATAAGTAGGGTAGCTATAATTATAAACCATATTAGGGGACTTATAACCCCACTTTTAACTACCCATGAACCTCCAAGTAGGGTTTAGGGTTATGGCCTGGGGCCTTGGGTTTAGTGTTTGGGTTTTGGGTTTGGGGTTGCGCAAAAAGGCGTCGGGTGCAGACAAGCCTTAGTACAAAGAAGACCTTTACCCAGGTGATGGAGTTCCCGAAGCATCCGGCCACGAAGGATTACCTTCTCCAGTTCAAGAGCCTTCCGGGTGGGCAGAGGCTTGGGGGGAAGCTGGCGGAGGCCTACGAGAAGCTTTCTGAGGATGCCGATCTCAACGCAGACTGGCTCTCTCTCTCAACCCTAAACCCTAAACCCTAAATCCCAAACCCTAAACCCTAAACCCTAAACCCTAAACCCTAAACCCTAAATCCTAAACCCTAAACCCTAAATCCTAAACCCTAAACCTGAGCCCTAGACCCTGAAGCTCCCAAAACCGGAGACCCTGAAGCTCCAGATCCGACGCCGCTGCCCAGTGTCCTTTGGACCCCGAGAGACGCCTGCGCGCCGGTCTGCGAGACGGCCCGCTGCAGCTGTTGAAAAAGGGCGCCCGCAGGAACAGGGAAGCTGTGCTTGGAACTTTGGCTCTTCTCGTCCCTGGGAAAGCGATGTCTATTTCCTCATCTACTACCGCACGTATCAGCACCGGCAACAGCATCTCTAGTGCCGCTGGTACCGGCACTCGCACCAGCACCAGCACTAGGAAACCGCCATGTTCCACCAGGAATCCAGCACCAGCACCACAAAATCACCCCCCCGCTCTGGCATCACCATGAGCACCATCATCATCACCATCACTTGCTGGTTGCTCGTCTTCGTCTTTAGCAGAGCATCGTGGTCGTGTTTCTAGTCACCATCATCTTCAAGCACGGGAGCAGCATCAGCGACAGCTTTGCATCGGGATCATTGTCACGGGCACGCGCAGACACAGTCGCCAGCGCAATGAGCACAGCTGGCACCGTGCCATCGCTAGCATCTGCATCAACACCATGCCGCATCTTGAGTCCGATGAATGTTGTGATGATGTTACAGTATGTCAACAATCTTGTCTAGGCTCTGTTGACACACTGTTGAATGTTGTTGCCAGTCTTCATGTGATTGTGGTATTTTTCTCTCTGACTCTAGTCCCTTCTTCATTCTAAGGACCCGTCTTCTGCAAGATGCCCTGGGCGGGCGCTGCAAGACGGTCATCATTGCGACCATTTCGCCGGCAGGGTGCCCACTTGGTGCCTAAGGGCAGGGAAGGGGCTGAGCTTCGCTTTGCCGCAGTCTTCCCTTTACGACAGCAGCGCTATCCACTGCCATGGCATAACCCAGAGGCCCGAAGCCTCCGAAGCATGGAGGTATCTTCTGAACCCCCCCAAAAAAGACCTCCAAGCCAAGATCCGAAGGGTTTAGGGTTTAGGGTTTAGGGCTTAGGGCTTAGGGTTTAGGGTTTAGGGTTTAGGGGCTGCTGCCCCTTTGCAAAGGCCTTGGCAGCCGTTGAGGAGACCATCTCTGCGCTGAGCTATGCGGAACAAGCCGCCGGCATCAAGAACCGGCCAGCCGGGAGGGGGCTTCGCAGATTTTTAGGGTTTTAGGGGTTTTGGGTTCAGGGTTTGGGGGTTTGGGTTTAGGGTTTAGGGTTTAGGGTTGAGGGTTTGGAGTCTAGGGCTCTGGGCAACTCGGAGTTTGTACGCCTGTAGTCTGCTAGATCGACGAGACTGTGCGTCGTTGTAAGGAGACCGGCCTGATGGTTAGGATTCTGGGAAAAGCGAGGCCTCCTTGTCGCAAGCTTCACAGCGCCTAGAAGCCTTCCACTGGGAGCGACAGTGGCCCCGAAACAGTAGAACTCACAAGCAAAGCCCTGAACAGCCTAGAGCCTGAATCTCAAGTCCGAAAATGACAACCCCTAAACCCTAAATCCCCCAAACAACCAAACCTCAAAACACCTGTAAGCTCTGAGCCTGAATGAAAGCTTGCGACCCATGTCCCAAAGTTCCAACGGCCGTAAACCTGAAAGCCATAGAACCCCTTGTGAACACCTCAACAAACCCGATGACAGCCTGGAGCTTTCTCAAACCGTATTCGATTCGATTCGCAGATGCAACGTCAGAAGACGTCGAGATAGAAACCGGTCAAGCCTTAAGCCCTGGCAGCAGGCATATTGCGGAGCCAAAGCCAAACTCTGCGCCAGGATTTTCAACCCAAAACCCTAAAAACCTCTTCTGTCGGAGCCCGACATGCTTTCTTTACCTCAAAAACACAGAGAGGCCTGTTGCTTCGTCCCTGTTGCGCACGGCCACCGTCGCCTCGGCTGCACGGGCAGCGGACGTCAGTGCGCCACTCAGGAGGGTTTTGGGTTTTAGAGAGTGTTTTGTGTTGAAGTTCAGGGTATTGGGATCAGGGTCTCCAGGTTTAGGGCTTGGTGTGCATGGCTTAGACTTCTTTTGAGGCTCTTGGTATCGGGCTTCGGGGGGTTTGGGGAGTCGTCTAAGGGTTTAGGGATGACCGACGAAACGAGTTTTCTCGGGAGGCGTGGCTCTCCCTAACCCTAGAACCCTAAACCCTAAACCCTAAACCCTAAACCCTAAACCGTGCCCGGACAGGATCTGGAAAATCTGGATCCAAAACCTGTGGCCTCAACCCCAATCCTAGAACCCACGCCCTAGATGGGACACCCTCAAAGTCTCAACTCCTAAACCTCAAAGCTTTTCAAAACCACGCCTATGCTCGCCGCTGAGGTTCGAGCTCCGGACTTGGTGCCTCCGATTGGGCGGAGCTCGAAATGAAGGCAGTCTGCGTTGAATTGCGGATACAAAAAACTCTCCCCCCAACAGCGAGGGGTCAAAAGTTGGGGCTTGGGGCCTTTGGTGTTTCCGGTCTTGGGGGTTTCGGTTTAAGCCTAGTGACGACAGAGCTCGGTTGGTGTCGTGGGGGTTTAGGCGTCTCGATTGAAACCCTGGAAAACAAGAACTCTAAAGCCAAATGTCCAGCAAGTCCACCTGCCAACCCTGAAGGCTCAATACTTTACTTGTTGACTTACCAATGTGTACTTACATACATACATTCTTGCATATGCATCTGTTCATCAAACTATATAAATACATAGCACCTTTATGTGTGTATGCAAACGAATGCACGAAATCTGAAATCGTGAACCCATGCGCGTTGAGGTCACTTACCTCGCGCAAGAGCTCGAGGAGGCTCAGGCCTGAACCGATCTGAGGATTTAGGGTTTAGGCTTTAGGGTCTAGGGTGGAGGGTTTAGGGTTTAGGGTTTGGGGTTTGGGGTTTTGGGTTTTGGGGTTTCGTGGTGGGAGTTCTGGGGTTTCAGGGGTGTGAGGGTGTAGGGTTTAGCTGATACAAGGTCTCACGCACGGTATGAGATTCAGTGTCTGGGTGATGCCGGGGTGCAGGATGTCTGACTTGGAGACTTTGGGCCTGGATAATTGCGAATACTGTTCCCTAGGGTTCCTTATGATACTTATACTAGAATCACCAGAATATACGCCGAAATCCTTTACTAATTATTATGGCCCTCTAATAAGGTCTCGAAGCTGAAGGTCAAGGAGTGAGTTCGGGCATTGCAAACATCGGGATTGCAAGAGGTCGTGCTTTGGAGAAGATTCGAACTCAAGCGATGTTGCATGATTGGAGGGCAAAATGATGTTCGAAGCAAGCTCAGGGATTTGTTCACACATTTGGTTTTGCACATATATACTTAACATATGTGTATATGTACACCCCTAAACCCTAAACCTAAATCCTAAACCCTAAACCCTAAACCCTAAATCCTAAACCCTAAATCCTAAACCCTAAACCCTAAACCCTAAACCCTAAACCCTAAACCTTAAACCCAACCAAGACTAAGAAGAGTGGTCCATGATGATCTGCCGTCAGGTGGCTCTCGGCCGGAAATACCAGGAGGCGCAGGCCACCTGCCCGCTCTAAGGCTTCTCACGTGATCTGGGCTTTTCGGGTTGGTGTAGGGTTTCGGGTCTAGGG